CATTGCTATACCATTACTACCGTGGATATGTTGATTGAAACCTATGCATGATGTCTAGAAATATTGGAGATAGATGAGTCGGGGAGTTATTACGTGGTCACTCGACACGTTTTGCAAATATGTTTCGTATGACAAAAGTAATTTTTTCTGGACATGCTTAATGAACTTCGAACTCTTCATGGATTGCATGGTTCATCAAGAACAACAGCTAGAGAGATGTTGACAATAACACTTTACATTTTATCCCAAAATGAATCCATTAGAGGAGCTATGGAACAGTTTCAACATTCCTCGGAAATAATAAGCAGATATTTCTCAATTAGGTTAAATGCGTTAGTGAGTCTGACACATGAAATAGTCAAGCCAGAGGACCCAACATTCCAGTCCATCCCCACACATGTTGCAAAAAACCCTCGATATATGTCGTTCTTTAAGGTGCTTCCCTAATTTAAAAGTCAGTTACTACAATTTTACACATGATTTTCTTATTGATAAATTCGTCCATCACAGGATTGCATCGGAGCTATTGACGGAACACATGTCGACGCACGTCTTTCTTGCACAGAAAATTACATACATTGGACGGTGCGGATCCCCAACACAAAATGTAATGGTTGTTTGTGATTTCAATATGTGTTTCACCTATGTGATGGCTGGATGGGAAGGTAGCACACACGACAACCATGTTTTCAAGTTTGCTACTAGCAACAAAAAATATGATTTCCTTTATCCACCACCAGGTATGACAGTCATGTTTTACTTTTGACTTCTTCTTGAAGATTGCTGGCTTTATTGAGTAGCTTCTCAAAGGATTTAATAGTGAGTCCCTCGAGCATGAAAACTACTAGCCCATGGATACTTTTGAGTAATATCTTAGTCACGTGACAACCATTTTAATTATATTTCATACCACTTATATAAACTAAATGTAGCCTTCATTTTTTCTCTAAAAAAATATAAACAGTATTGAGTGTACGACAACTTTTCAATGGCGGTAACAACCATTTTAATTATATTTCATACCCATTGAAATTACTTATGGACTAAATGCAATATAAAATTTAATTGATTATCAATATATTGCCTCAATCCTAAAATAAATTCAATGAAGCTAACATCCATATTTTTATTTTCTTGAGAAAAATAAACTTGATCTAAATCCTTAATCTAAAAATGATAAACAACACCCTCAACCATTATGTCGAGTGAACACTTTATCAAAATTTATAAACCCGAATAATTATGCCATCTATATATATATTATTACTATTTTGCAGCTATAGTTTAGTTAAAGAAAAAATGTGCAAGCCAATGGAATTTATTCCATATAATTTAAAAACATTTATAATAAAATGTTACAACAAAACTTTAATGGGTTATCTTTAAAAAGACTTCAAATCTCTCCCCACTGCCTTCAAATTTTAAATTATAACAAAATTTTGAATGATAAAAACACAAAGAAACTATTACCTGCTGAAAAATGAGAGATCTGATATAAGTCATTTATCAGAAATTATCATTTCATCAATATCCTTTTCAGCGGCAGCAATAATCTTAAGCTCTTCCAAAAGTGCATTTAATCTCCTCATATTATCATCTTGGACACTTTGAGGAGCTTTCTTGTAACCTGTAGAACTCATCACCTGTTCCAGATTTGTGTGCAGCCTGCAAACAATTTAACAGAAATAAATCAATCATAAACTAATATGCAGCAGCATCAACAACAACAACAACAAGCCTTTTATCTCACTAAGTGGGGGGTCGGCTACATGAATCCTTTTTTTCTTAATTGCGTTCTATTGTCATATTTTAATTTAGAAAGTGGAAGGCACTAAAGACGAGTGGATTGAGATGTGCTATCCATCCTATGGGCCCTAAGGACCACAACATCCTCAGTGACCAGCCAATGTCCCTTTGTATTATAACATGTGATCGAGGTTCTTCTCCTAGTTGAATATTCAATGAATTACACGGTTAGAGAGTACTAGTTGCGTCGAACTTTGAAAAATTGGAGTTAGGAGAATGGTTAATGAAGAGCCAAGAAGCGAAGGAAATGATTGTCCACATATTGGAGGAACTTAAGGTCTAAGCGTCGAAAAGAGGAAGGTTATGAAAAGAATGACAAAATACTATAATTCCAATATCGGGATTGAAGGCATTTCGTGTTAGATGTCTAATACTAAGGAAAACAAACACCGCATATCGACAATTTGCTCTTTGTAAATTTGGTTCATTATGGGAGGGACCTTACATTATCAATGAGTGGGGCTTGAGGGTACACAAGCCCTCCATTTTTTATATTTAAAGAATATATATATATATATATAATTATTTTTGTGTGCAGATAGATATATAAATGATCTACGATCATATTCATACACGTATATTTGTATGGATAAATACACGTAAGTACGATGACATGCATATTTCTATAATTTATGAGACTTTCAAATGAACTACATATTTGCCAATAACTCTTGCTCAATCTGACAAAAAACAAGTCAAACACAGTAAAACTGGGGCATTTACATACATACGATACATTTATTATATATTTACATATCTAACCCCTAAATATTCATATTTACATGCATCTCACTCAAATCTTTAATATCACACCAAAAATACCACCAACACGATCTTTTTCAAAAGTGAAATATATCTTTTCATGCATAAGTTTCTGATACCAAAGTGTTACAAGTATAAATAAAAAACCTTGAGTGTTAAATAGTTTGCAAGTTTATTTAAAAAACGAGCCAAACAACAGTTAAGCCAGTCAAAATTAGGCTAATTTACAGCATTAATTTTTAGTTATGGATTATTCAAATTATACAAAAACTAACAGATCAGTTTTTTGGTTTATATTGTATAGCTTCTAATGGCCATTTCCATACAATATTATTCCATGCCCCCATTCCTACCCATAGCCCACCCCAAATCTCCAAGTTGTAATTCAAAAAATAGTGCATGTTTATGAAAATATTACCCAAAGATACCATTTAAGCAAGAAAAGTCCATGTAGCTATATGCATAATATAGAAAAATTTCCCTTAAAAGTTTCCGCAAATATAAATAATATAAAGCTTTGCTCGGCAATTCGAGTTTAGCCCTTTCATCCCCATCTATGCAATCAATTATAGTACAATAAGGGGTCGAAGTTAGGCGCGATTGTCAAATTTAAGGGGCATTTACATACATACCAAACAATTCTTGATGTATTTACATATCTAACACCCAAACTTTCATATTTAAATAAATAGCACTCAAAACATTAATATCACATAAAAAATACTATATCTACTTTTAAAAACTGAAACAAAAATTTTCTTGCATAGATTCATCACATCAAAGTGTTATTCATGTAAATATAGAAATTTAGGTTCTAGATATGTAAATACATAAGAATTGTGTGGTATGCATGTAAATTTCCCTAAATTTAACCACCAAGTTTTCAAAAAATAAGGCAAAAATATCAAAATATTCTTAGATTAGGTTGGCGAAACTCACTTTTGTATTTCCTCTCTTTTTTTTCTAAGCTTTTGGCGTTCAGCTTCAGGATCAAGTATCCCTTGGAGCTCCAGATAGACGGAGAGATTTTCATTTACCACATCAACTGCACAGCCAGGTGGAGGCAAGTCATTCTCACATAGTACCTACAAGATAAAATCAAAATTAGATACTTCTTTCAACTCTTTTCCAAATTAATTTGAAGTAATAAAAGCGATGCGGGGGACGTAGACACAATTAGTTGGTAAAAATCTTAAAAGTTAGGGGCGTTTACATACATATTACCCAATTCCTATATATTTCCATATCTAAAACTTAAACTTTACATTTTACATTTATAGCACCCAAATCTTTCATATCATTTTAAAAGTGACATACACCTTTCATGCATAGTAAAAGTGACATCTATATAAAAATTGAAGTATAGGTGTTAGATTGATAAATACATGGAAATTTAAGTTTTATGAATGTAAATCTTCCTAAAAGTTAGACATTTTGGAATCAAATGCAAGTATGTGCGTGAGTTTAATTTAAAAAAAAAGAAAATATTGAAACAACGACTGAATAAACATCCAAACAGCACTTTATAAACATTCAATCAAATGGAAAAAGAAAAAAATATTTAATATCCGCCATTGTTAATCATCAACAACCACTATGGAAACTTTATTATCCATTTAAAATACCTTCAAAGATGACAGCGAAGCGAGGGTGAGGATCTCTGATTCATAATTTTTAATAATTGAAGCAATATCATCTCCTCTGCAAAGTGCAAAAGCTGCGCGTCTGGAGTATGTAAATAAGAAATTAATCATGAATTAAAGTAAAAATGTTAGGATGCTAAGATATTAAATCATAGGATTGAGATTGTCATACATAGTTACCTTTCATTTTTGTCCGTCGGCAATCGTAGTGACCTTATCTTTCTCACCGTACTAAGAACAATATCCATATGGCTTTCAATTTGTTCACTAGTCCATGACTGTCAGATCCATAATAGTTGAATGTCACAAAAACACTTGATAATGCTACATAAATTAAAGTGCTTTTACATATATACCACCAAATTCCTACATATTTACACATCTAACACCTAAACTTCACTTTTAATATTTATACCAACCAAAACTTTCATATCATATAAAAAATACCACCAATTTAAGTTTAAAATAGTGAAATGCACCTTTTTCATGCATAGGTAAGGTGGCATATATGTGAAAATTGAAGTTTGCATTTCAAGAAAATTGAAGTTTAGGTGTTAGATATGTAAATACATAACGAATTGAGTGGTATGTATGTAAATTTTCCCAGAAAAAAAAAATCACCATGAAATACCTCCACCACCGACGGATAATCCGATATCATTATCGATTCCTTCTGATGGATTTCTCGAGCTTGGGGAAGTCTCTGCCATAGTTCCTCCGTAACAAAAGGCATAAATGGATGGAGCAGCCTCAAGCCGGAGTCCAAACATATCCATAAAGTATCTCTAGAGGCTTTCCTCTCAGATATGTAAGCATTTTCAGAGAAAAAATAAGGCTTTATAGCTTCAATAAATACATCACAAAGCTGGAATTGCCACCATGAATATACAGCAGTAGATGCCTCCGAAAATTTGTATGATTCAAGAGAAGAAACAGTCTTATCTACAGCTTTATTCAAAACAGAAAGAATCCATTTACAGATTGATGGCATTGTATCTACCACAATATTTGACGAAGGAGAATAGTTGTCCCCCAATTTGCTTAGAGCGAACCTTATAGCGTTCCATAGCTTATTACACCACTGTCGGTATCCGACGACTCGAAGAACATCGAGATTTATCTTGTCAGACTGCGAAGCTATTATTTGTTAGACTTTCACATAATAAAAAGAAAAAAGCATCACATGCATGCCACTCAATTCTTATGAATTTACATATCCAACACCTAAATTTTGCTTTTTTACATTTATACCACCCAAATCTTTCATGTCAAATAAAAAATACGAGCATTTTAATTTCTAAAGATTGAAACACACCTTTTCATGCAAAGATAAGGTGGTATCTACGTAATAATTGAAGTGTAGGTGTTAGATATGTAAATACATAGGAATTGAGTGGTATCAGGTATTTATGTAAAACATAGAAAATAAATGAATGAAGAGAAAAAGATATTAGAGGGCTGGAATGAACCTGTGCAGTGTAGGATATGAGAGCGAACCGAAGAGCATCGGCACCACATTCGGCAATTCCATTTGGAAAGTCCTTCACCTGTCCTTGTTTTGCAATGGTTAGTTCATTCGGGTCTAAGTTACCCTCTTCCAAACGTTTGTGAAGGCCTTCGAGTGATATTCCATTTATCACTTCAAGCGGATCGATAACATTGCCCAAGGACTTCGACATTTTGCGCCCATGAGCGTCACGTATCATTGGATGCAAGTAGACCTACGAGAAAATCAAAAGCGTTCAATTTATTACAGGTAAACCGTACAAAAACTCTTTCTTTTTAGCAAAAAAATGGCTAGTTTCAAAGCCCTTACCATGGATGATATAATTCTAAAGCAGACCCAATGAATTTCAATTGAAGTATGAAAAAAAGAGTAAGGTGATAAGACACGGTTCAATGTTAAAAATTACAAGAACACTTTGAAATCTCAATTTTTCAAGGAGCATTACATACATATCACACAATTCTTATGTATTTACATATCTCGCACCTATACTTTCGTATTTACACACCTAGAATTAAATTATTTAACATCACATCAAAAATAACACTATTAATAATTTCTAAAAGTGAAATGCGTCTTTTCATGCATAAGTTTAAAGCACCAAAGCGCTATGTATGTAAATATGAAAGTATAGGTGTGAAAAAATATAAATATATAAGAATTGAATATATAAGAATTGTGTGGTAAGAATTGTGTGGTATGTATGTAAATTTCCCTTTTTTTTCATGTAAATCAATCAGGAGATGGAACATATGAATTTTGATGGGACACATCATGCACTAATTTAATGATTTGCAATATATTTAATGTCAAATCATACGTCTTGGAACAAGATGCAAACATAATTCATCATTTAATTCATGAATCTTACAAGCACCACAAATATGCAAATTATGTAACATTCCTACGCTGAATCTTTGATTATCACTTCCAAAAGGTCACCAATTTCAGTTTCAACATGATAAAAACTTCATCCGTGTTACCTTTTTGAAGGGAACATCGCCGCCAAGTTTCATGCCTAGCATCACCATCCGAGCCACCCAGAAAAACAGAATGTCGTGGCCCGTTTCGAGAACAGAAGTCGGATAAAAGGCTCTAAAATCATCTGTATCTTCCGGCCAACCGAGCACACTTAACGGAAAAAGTCCAGATGAGAACCACGTGTCCAGTACATCGGGATCCCGAGCAATCTTAAATTTCTTCCCCACAAATATCCTCTTCGCCTCGAGATTGGCTTCTTTTTCATCTCTTCCAACCACCCAATGGTCATTATATGTGCCAAATTCTTGGAGTTCGTCGTCTTCTAGGGTCACATACCAGGCAGGGATGCGGTGACCCCACCATAGTTGTCGTGAAATGCACCAATCTCGTATATTTTCTAGCCATCTACAAGAAAAAGAAATTAAAGTTACGATTAATAAAGCAGGCAAACTAGATTATCATTATCTAAAAGGGAGATTCCCATGCAGAGCACTCAATTCTTTATGTATTTACATATCTAAAATCTAAACTTTAAATTTTACATATATGTCACCTTATCAATGCATGAAAAGTTATATTTTACTTTATAGAAGTTAATGTAGTGGTTTTTTATGTGATGTGAAAACTTTGGGTGGTATTAAAAAAAAAAAAGTGTTAGATATATAAATACATAAGAATTAGGTGGAATGTAGGTAAATGCCCCTATCATAATTGGGTCATATATAAATGAACCTCTTCCAATCTTGTTCATATTGCTCTGGAATGATCTCAATCTTTTTGTTCTCTTTGTCAATAACAGCATCAAGGGCAGCTTTTGCCATACTATTGCAATCAACAAACCATTGGGGCTTTATCATAGGCTCTACAATATCATTACTTCTGGAACAAATACCGAGGCTCATCTCATTCTTCTGTGCTCCTCTATAAAGTCCCTGATTGAAGGAATGATTCTTGTCAAAAAACAAATAAATAAACAAAATCATAATCAAAATGAATAGCAATACAGATTGTGCTGGGCTACCACAAAAAAAGACCAAGAATTCATACAGAATGAGGCCTCAACAGAGTAAGCTATTCTTCTCCGATATATTGCACAATATAAACCCCATGTTAGCTTATTTTCACGATCTTCTCTGGAAAAATATTAATCATTGGCAAATCATTGATGCTTTGGCTTATTAGCGAGTTTTAAGCTTCCAATGCTTACAAGTGCGCATTAAGCACCTCCAAAAAAAATGCTACATAAAAAGGCAATTTTTTTTACATAACATGACAGCAAATCGTATCATTATACTAAAAGTATAAAATAAATGCTGAAAGAGCATGTTAAGTCTCTCTACAAATCAAGCAGTTTCAGGAAAGGAAGTATATAAAGGGGCTTTTACATGCATACCACCGGATTCTTATGTATTCACACATCTAACATCTAAACTTTACCTTCTACATTTATAACACCCTAATCCTTCATGCATAGGTTAGATGGTATGTGTGAAAAATTGTAGTTTAGGTGCTAGATATGTAAATACATAGGATTGAGGGGTATGCGCGTAAATCTTCCTTGTATAAATTCTACAGGTCTCATGATAAAACTTAATTTATAAAAAGTAGCCCTGCCCTTGCACAGAAATTCAACCCAAAATTGTTTTGTGAGATACTTTGTTTAGAAACAAGCTTCTTGCAGCCCTGTATGGTTATAAACTCCAAAAAATTAATACCTTTTCCTTCAAAGCATCAATCAAAGCAATCCGGGCTTTAAATCTTGTCATCCCTTCAAATTCAGCTCCACCATTGATGTTAATTCTCCCATCATCAGTGAATATATTGATAAACTCAAGATTATGGCGCTTTCCCACTTCAAAATCATTAGCATCATGAGCTGGAGTAATCTGAAATTCATAGAAGACAGATAAATTTTACTCACAGTTGAGAAAGAATGGTGAATCAAATTGGAACGAAAAAAAAATGGAAAATCTATTTACATACCTCACAATTCTAATGTATGTACATAACTAACACCTAAATATCAAAGTTTAGGTCTTAGATATGTAAATAAACAAGAATTGTGTGGTATGTATGTAAATGCCCCAATGAAATTTTAATGCTGAAGCTTTATTGCTCTATATAAAATCATGCACCCATACCTTCACGGCCCCAGTCCCAAAATTCGGATCAACCAGAATATCATCACAAACTATGGGAATCTTTCTCCCGTTAAATGGATGAACGGCAAACTTTCTGTGCAAATGTTTATATCTCTCGTCTTCAGAATGAACTGCAATAGCAGTATCGCCAAGCATAGTTTCGATCCTGGTCGTGGCAACAACTATCTCGCCCAAGCCTCCCTCGAGAAGATAAGCGAAAGAAGTTAACACCCCAAACTGAATGGGAAAGTCAAAGCCAGGAACCTTAAGGAATGTCTCCTCCTTAATTTCCTTGTGGTCAACCTGGAGGAAATAGTTTTAACCAATAGCTCTCAATAAATATGTAATTACAGCCCAAATAAATATAGGAGGAATAATGGCGTGATGAGGGGAGAAAAATTAGAATTTTTAAGTACCTCAATATCAGATATTGCAGTTCGCAATGTACAGTCCCAATTCACAAGGCGATAATCTCTGGAAAATCGAGCCAAGAATGGTAGTTAAGTATGACATCTTTAAAAAAGCTTTAGAAGTGTTAGCACACAAAATAGTTAAAAGAATGATAACGGGAGAAACAATATGGACACAAAATTCACAAAGATAAAAAGGTTGGCACTGCTGTGAAACCACTTGAAAGAAATTTATTTGATTGTATGCTACAAAGTATATTCATGGTAGAAAAACCGGCGCAACCAACGAAACAAAATAAAGAAATTTACATACCTAGCATAAAATTCTTATGTATTTACATATCTCAAATCAAAACTATTACATTTACACATATAGCACTTTGGTGCTTTAAACCTTTATATAAAAAGGTGTATTTCATTTTTAAAAAATGAAATAGTGCTATTTTTTATATGATATTAAAGATTTGAGTGCTATGTGTGTAAATATGAAAGTTCAGATGTGAGATATGTAAATACATAATAATTGTGTGCTATGTATGTAAATGCCCCCACAAAACATTTCACCCGGTATGAAAACTGTTAAGGCATTATAGAATTAGGCTGACCTATAAATAAGACCTTCCCTGTAAAGCCTGACAAAAGCTTCAGTGACTGCCCTTGATCTCTTCTCATCCATTGTAAAACACTAATAACCACAACAATTACATAAGAAGATTATATAGGAAACTTGGAAATGAAATACAAGAGATACAAATATTAGAACATGAGAAAATTTAACCTCACGGGACCAGTCGAGAGAAGCACCAAGACGACTCTTGATTCAGTATGGTACCTCCATATTCACTTTTCCATTTCCAAACCTGAAAGAAACAACATTATGAAAGACTTATAAAAGCAGAAACAATAAAAATTACACAAAAGGCAAAGAACAATGTCATTTAACCAATATTAACAGAAGTAATAAAATACAATCAAGCTTGAAAACAGAAGCGATGCTTAACCATTTGACAGACTTAATCAAATTAATCCAACAGATAAAAACTTACTTCGGACACAAACTTCTCACGTCCTAAGTCATGCCGAGTCAATTTACTCTCCCTCATGAGTTTTTTTTCAACAATTACCTGAAAAAAGCAATAGTTAGTAATAGAAATGTTTCTAAAGAAATATTTCAAGTTAACGCTCTTAAAGTTAAGACTACATGTATACACATGAATGCATCACCACAATAAAAGAAGCAGAAAAACAAAAATACATCAGATGAATAAAAAAGGGCTATAAAGGCTGCTCTTTTAGTATTTCACAAAAAACAAAAGCTCCTCTCCAAACCAACAACATATCTTCCTACTGTAGTATTTCACATATCCCAAATAATATCCATTTGATTCCCTCTCTAAAATGCATTTTAAGGCTCCTCTGTGTACATATTCTCTCTGCAAATTGCCCTAAAAATACAACACAGCTCTAGATAAGCATGCTTATGGAAATACATCCATAAATCAAATTCAAGGAAGAGTAGGGAAGATATAAAAAATTATATAGATCACCAACAATAGCCCATCATCAAATTGCAACAAATTCCATTCTCTTCTTCATGGCTTAAAAAGGCGTTTAAGCCGCATTCCTTATTGTCAATTGTAGGTATGATTGTCGCATGGCTTCAACAATGCCAACACAACTTCTAATTAAAGATTGATGGAGCATTATCATTGTTGAAATTGTTGGCGAGAAGAAGAGCTTGACAATAGAATGTGTCGAGATGTGATATCTAGGATGTCGAAAAGAGGAAAAAAATTTGAAATAAAACTTATATAAATTAAAAAATGTCTACATTAAAAATCAGTAGGCATCATATTTGAAATATTAAACATGACAAACTTGTGTGCAGCCTAACGCATTTTAGTTATGGCATCATGAAGGAGCGCAAACAAGGGAGACATATATGAGCAAAGTGTAAATGTCAATTATACATTAATACATTGATAGTGATGCTAAAATATATCAAGTGGCATATGATGAATTGCAACTCAAATATTGCATTAAAAGATATGTGGATATGTTGAAAAGGTGTAACAAAGCATCAAGAAGAGTGTTGAGGCACCTTTCATCAAAAATAAGTTTAAATAATAAAAAAAGCACCATCATATTCTTGTATTATTATAAATAAATCATGGGCAAAAATGTTCACATTATTGCAACAAAAAGCATGCTAGGCTCTTAGGGTTCCTGAAAGAACTCAAACATATTCCAACGATCTTAGTATGTCTCTAGGTAGGGCTGTAAACAAGCCAAGCTTGAGCGATCTCAGGCTTGGCTCGTGTTCGGCTCGTTCGAAATAGCTCGTGTTTGAAATCGACTCGTGAACAGTGTGTTCGTGTTTGACTCGTTAAAATTAAATTGAAAAAAATAAATGTAAAGTGTGAGATTCGAACATTGACCAAATATATACAAAATAAGAGACTAACCACATTACCACATGAGATGTTAAAATTTAAACTTAGATATAAATATATATAATATATTATTATAAAAATAATATATGTAATACTATTTCGAGCTAAAACGAGCCGAACTCAAGCGAACAAAGAACTATTCGTGTTCGGCTCGTTTATAATTCGCACTTTAAAAACTTGTTTGTGTTCGGCCGATTTACTTAACGAACAAGCCGAACACGAGTTGTTTGCGAACAATGAGTTTTTTTGACAGCCCTATCTCTAGATAAGCTAAATGATCATGAAACTCTTTAGAATAATATATATATATATATATATATATATATATATATATATAGTGTGTGTGGTGTTGTGTACAATGAAGCACACATATTAATCACAAAAGTATGTGTCAATCAAACAGTATACAGATTATGAGTCCGTAAATCGATCCCACCAGAAACGAGTTAATTCTCAAATGGAGTAATAATTAGTTTATGAATCCTATGTTTAGTTTGAAATGATGAAAGTTTTTTAAAGATTCTGTAAAAATTTTAAATTGTGAAAACAAATTCTACTGATTTTTGGGTTTTTTTACTAAATATTAAAAGTCTTCCTTGAATTGAAACTTGAGAAGTTTCAATTCTTATTCCACCAACTTATGTTCCATTGTAGTTGACACTTAGGGACAAATACTCCTTACTCTATTCCCAAACATAAGAAGCGTTGGAGTCTTATATTATGATTAAGTCCCCTTAACCCTGCAAAGTTCTTCAGGATTCTTCATTATCATATGTGATTGCAATCTCCTAATGACTATTCCTATGTCACTAAGAAAATATGTTATTTTAAATCCCCTTAACCTACTTTTTCTTTTAGTCTACAGTCAATATTCCTTGATCACAAGTTATTTTAAATTTTCTAGTGACTAGCAAAAAAGTAAATGAAGCCTTAAAGGTTAACAAATTAAATTATCTTTCAAATGCTTAAAGAAAATCACATGAGAAACACGACGACTTCACAATACCAACCAAGGAAAAGAAAAACTTGTTCCAACACATTGATATGGAAAACACATACAATTTCATTAAAAAAAAAAGCAAACTTTACATAAATTAGTAAAAGAAGAATACACCCAGATAAAATTTCTTCTTGCTCCAAGCCAATCTTCTTCTACAATCCGCTTTCCCCTTTGAATTTCTATCAATGCTCTCCTTTACACATTAAATTCACTCACATTTATCTTGCACATGGATCCTCCCTTCTCCCAATATGAAGAAAATAGTTCCTACTTAAGTGCTATCCTCCTCTGCCGTGTAGAAGTCCCGAGAGAAGTCAAAGAAGAGTCCCCTCATCGAAGAAATTTCGCTCTTTTTATCTTCTCTACTGATTGAACCATCAAAAAATTATCAAAACCACCCCAAGCTCGTGGGGTGTGCGGCAACTCTGATGTGGTGGCCCTAGAGCGTCGGTCTGTGGCGCTGGCTTCGAGACTCAAAATCGTCAATCTAAGGATTCGACTGTAGCATGGTGACGCTGGCATTGAGTGCAAGGACGCTTGGTTCATGACATTAAGATGTCATTTTCTCTGTATTATAGCTGAAATTGTACCTTCTAGTGTTGAAGCGCCGAGTGTTGCGGTGTTGTGGCGTTGGGTGAATGGAAGCTGAAGCTAGGATGCCATCTTCTATAGATTTTGTACGTAAAGGAGCAGCATCCGACATTGAGGCGTTTTCCATAGGTGTCAGTGTGCTTACCTACTGACTTAGCCTATTATATACCAAAATGATCTAGTTTTTCTGTATACTGTACATACAGACCAAATAAACCCACAAAAAGCATAAAAATAACATAAATAATGCAGTAAAGACACCATACAACACATATTTTATACACATCAGTCGAACAAGAAAATGAACTAAGAACCCAAATATGATCTTATTGATTCAAAGTTGACATAAAGGTCTTAGTGTGCATCGTTAATCAGGAGCACTGTCTACAAGACAAGACCAAAAGACCATTCCTATAAATCTTACATATATAAATGGAATACATCAATTGCCCCTCAAAATACATGCAAGTCTTAGTACTCCTATTAAAGTTCAAAAAACTGTTCAAATCAAGTATTATTATTGGGCTTTCCATGCTCTCAAGGATGTAAGTTCTATCGATGAACTTTCTTCAAGACATAAATCTTCATATAATCAATGGTATGTCATAAGAAATATTATTTTAATTTCTTCAACCTTAAAGTTGTAAGTCTGACTTGTGGGTCTTTCTATAAATGTAAGCCTTAATCCTATCGATTAGGATAGCATAAAAGATAGTAAGCCCATCCAACCACATTTAGTCTCATGCTTTCCAAAGAAGTGCATGAACCCTCGTAAACTAAGCCAATGCCAACTCCCATGGTAACAAGCCTAGTCATCAAACAAATCATAGCCAAACTAACTAATAAAAACACATGAATCATAGACATGATTATTTGATTTAATATAAAACACATGGACAAATCATGGCCAGGTCAGTCCTCCGAGCCCTTCTCAGTTATCTCTAAAACCTCCCAACTGTAAGCAGCCATATTGTGAGCCTCAGAACTATCCAATGAAAATGGAACAAGCAATCTAATGCCAGTAAGTAAATTGAAGTCAAAGACACGTACATTTTCACCCTGATTTGCTTGGTATAACTGAGATAAGATTAACGATAGTTGGAAATCATATTCTCAAGGTATGATAGCTCAAATGCCCTAACATTAGAGACTAGATCCACTGGTATAACTAAGATGAAAGAATCATTGAAACTTAATTAAGTATATCTCCATACCATAACCATTCACAATTTTATTAAATTCATATATAATTACCAAATCTGTGTTTTAAATATTAGCCTAAGCAGTCTCTTAATTAAAAAATTCTCTTGCGAATGAGAGGAATATTTAAGCACGAGGATTTGTAACCACAAAAAATCTTGAGCCCAGGTTTAATGAAAACTCTAGAAATTTAATTAGATGAAATCTAATTAAAAAAGACCTAATCTCCCTCATGAAAAAACCCAAGTTTCTCATTGCATCAAAAGGTCAGACAATTGCTATTCCCCTGCAATCAATCATTCCTCGTCATCATCATTAACTTTACCCCAACTATCACAGGCTCGCTTTACAAATTTTTACTTTCCATTCATTTCATCAAGCACTGCAAGAATTATTAAAGCCCCGCTTTACAAATTTTTTGAAGAAAATATAAAAAAAAATTGCAAGATAGAATAACAGAAAAAGCAGTAGTCTAACTTAAGACACAGGACTAATGTACCTTATCACACATCTATGCAAACACATAAAAAAAAATAGGTAAGAGGAAGATTTACGCAATTCCTCTATTAAATAGACTTAGCAACAATAGTACATGCCTCATCAGCTCTACGTCCTTTTTAACCATTCAGCTTGCATCTCTTATAAGTTTTCAACTCTCAAACTAAACTCTATGCCTCCAATGAGTAATGATGGATGTAATCCTACACGTCAATTCAAAACAAGCATTTTTAAGAGTAATGTTAATAAATATAATAATATTCTTACAGTATTATGATCTACAACAGCTTATGCTAAAAATAAAAGATACACCCTCTATGCATCCTAATTTCCATGTATATCAACATAAAAACATTGGAATAATCACTCAACCAATTGCCTTTAAATATTTCAGAAATCGTCAACTTTCATTAAAATATATATTTTATGATATGCCATCAAATTTATCCATATAAAATTTATGCAGCTTCAGATTATGCTCATCAAACAAAAACGGTTGCTATTCTCAATATTGAAAAACAAATGCCAAAATATTGTAAAATTTTGCATGCTTGTTTTCAAACTACGTATTGTGAAGCATAGATTAGTTCAGCCAATATGTAAAACATAACCAAGCCAATGCTGGAAAGAGAAACAAAGCACAACGAACCAGAAAGAGGAGCTGAAATAATAACATAAAAGAGCTGGTTCAAGCAATTTGTTGATTTCTAAAACTAAACACTAAGCAAAAAACTAGATTTGCGGAATTAGGGGAAACGGAAACCTGGGTAGCTATTCCTGCATGGTCCATTCCAGGTACCCACAAAACATTACAACCTGACATTCTTCTCCACCGGATAATCATGTCCTGCACGAAGTAAAAAGAGGTAATTTAAAAAAGTTCAAAAAATGATAACAAAAAATAATGATGGCAATAAACAGTGGAGAATAAGTTAACAAACCACCTGTATAGAAGCAGTAAGGCCATGGCCTATGTGAAGAGCGCCGGTTACATTTGGAGGTGGCAGAACCTAGCCATACAATTCATAAGGAAAATGGACATTAGAATAATATATAAAAATTATGGCTATGTATTATCTTTTGTATTGATAGCAAACTTCTCTTTCTTTCAGTCTTCACCCCCCTCATGAAAAAATAAGAATTAAATGCATCAAAGCCTCACCTTTTGAACTTCTATAACTGTACGGATGAGGTAAGGTTATATTACTTAGCACCCACTCAAATGAACCAAATAAAATATCAATTTTAAGATTGAAATTATATCTCCGGGTCCATAACAAGTATTCCTTTGCTTTAAATTATGCCATATTTCACCTTCCCAGCATAAATTAGCTAGAGAAACAGTTTAAACTTTAACAAGATGAGAGCTATTATTAGAACAAATACATAATGCACAAAAGAAATAACTGATAAATGTCAATCACTTTTACTCCTATGATCAAGTTATATAATAATAATACAGGTTAACAGCTTGAATGCATTACAGAAAGAACACGGATACTGAGAACGTAACTTCAAATGAAAGAGAAAAAATCATAGGAGAACAATGCAAAATTAAGCTGGCTATGTTATATGAATGTGACTGTTAAGTAACTAAGATCATTAATATGAATTTGACTGTTAAGTAACTAAATCATTCAGTGTTGTAAAAATGAGAATGTCAAAATTGATGTGTCAATAATTAGAAATAATAGAGAATTATATCGAATACAGAATAGATAAATACAAATAATGGCACTCACTATCACAAAAGGGGGCTTCGAGCTTTTTGCATCTGCGTTGAAGAAACCTGATGCTTCCCACCATGCATACCATCTGGAAAGAAAAATAATCATGATCTTAGAATTTAATATTTGCAGGTCACACACATAGAACTTCAATGTGGTAAAGACTATTACGATTTCTCAACAACACTGGGATTATACTGCTTTGCAATTTGACGAGAAAGGAGTTTCTTTGCTCCAGCAGGAGTTTCAGGTTCAGCAAAATCCTCAGGATTCTCATCTTCGACATCCTTTTTTCGATTTTTCTTTTCAACTTTCTTTGATCCATCATTTACCTTTGGTCCATCGAAAACAAAGTATCATCACAGTGCACATGTCAAACTCTATAGTTCTCATAGTTTATTGATTTTGATTCCTCAAATTATTAATAAATACAAAAACTTATAATAAAGAGATGTGTAAGCCTTTTTACCTGGAGTTTGGCAGCCTCAGCCTTTTGTGCAGCCTTGAGCTTCTTTTCTTCTTTAAGTTTTGCCTGAGGTGTAAAAGAGCATTCGTTGAAACAATTAATATACACTGCTGTTAAAATGCCTCTTTAAATTTCACAGAAATAACATACAAAGTTTTCACCAAATTAATAAATATGATGAATTAGTCTAAATAAAACCCTACTTTTTCAAATGTTATTTCCTTGATTTAATAAGCACTAAGTTTAACTGTTACGGTTATTATTCCATTCGAAGATGTTCTTCACCAGAATTTTTTTAATAAAGTTTTTATTTCGTTTTTTTTTTTATTTTGAATACAACACATTGAGATTTTTTCTGTACCATGCTTAGCTGATCCTTTTCTGTACCATGCTTAGCTAATCCTATAAATAAGTTTCTACTTTAATTTTTTTCTTAACCCATCCAAGCAGTATATGGATTGTAACCAGATGTAATTGCAGTCTGAACTCTCACTTCACCGAATTTTTCTATACATGGAGTTTTATTTCCGATTTGTATTACTATTTCAAATTAAAATTTTGGAGCACATGGAACTTTCATAATCTTAAATTGCAACAAATTTATCAAATACTGCAATAGGTTAATGTTTTGGATTTTCACACACATTAAGATTTATTTAAGAGTATTTAATTGTGCACTAATATTTCTTAAAGATCCCATTTCCTCACTTTTTTCTGCTTTAATTTGCAGCGCCTTTAGAAATTTACTTCAATAATTTTAAATGATGTCTCTAAAAAGATAAAAATAAGAGCTAATCTGGTACTAATTCCTTAGTATACACCCTTGAAATTTGTTCCTTCTATAATTCTCAGCAGCAATGTCAAACAAATTAACTGTTTAACAACATTAGTTTAAGTAATATTGAAACATGTTTTCATTAAAAATATCAGTTTCTTGAATTGACATCTTTTTACAGGAAGTTTATCTAGAATTTCAACCCAATCGCAGTATCCTTAACTGAGCTTCTCAAATCAAATAGATTCATGTGGTCACATAATGCATAGGCTAACTTTGAAGGTTTGAAGAAACATGTTACTCAAGCCCCTATTCTAGCACTTCCAGATTTCAATCAAATATTTGAAGCGGAGTTTGATGCATCCAATGTGGGAATTGAAGGTGTTCCGAGTCAAAGTGGACATCCCATTGCCTTCTTCAATGAGAAATTGAATGAGGCCAAGATGAAGTATTCTAACTTTGACAAGGACTTGTATGCAATGTAAGAGCTCTCGGTCATTGAGGGTCATTACTTGCTTAGAAACAAGTTCCTCTTTACACGGATCACGAACCCTTGAGATTCCTAAATATATATAACAAACTAAAAGAGAAACATGTCTCATTAAAAAAATTCTTATCTTTATTTCATTTTGTTCTACAACACAAGAAAAAGAAGTCAGAATAAAACAGATGATGCATCGAGCCATTGTCACTTGTTAATTAATACCATGCAAATATGCAATTGAAGATAATTGGATTTGAAGTTTTAGATGATGCATATGCCACTAAAGAAGATTTACAAAAGATTTGAAAACGTTGATAGGACAGAATGAGCAATTCCATATATTAAATAGCAATTTATTTTATCAAAACAAGTTGTGTATCCAAGGAATTCACTCAAAGAAGAAATATTATAGGAGCATTACAATTGAGAGACGACGGGACATTTCTGCAAACACTATACTCTTTTCTTAGTGAAACAGAAATTTTATCGGCCCAGATTGGTGTGAGATGTAAAAAGACATGTCAAATAGTACAAAGACGATGAGATATATCATTTGGCTAAGACTCAAGGGAAAAGTACACTCATCTTTCCACTTCAGAGGCAACCTGGTTGAATGTAAGCAATGGACTTTATAATGAGTTTGCCACAAACACAGTAGAGTAAGGATTTTGTTATGATAGTGATAGATCGTTTCTCCGAGATGACATACTTCGTTCAAAATCACAAGACCATGGATGCATCATACAATGCAGGCTTATACTTTAACGAAATAATTCGTCTTCACTTCAGATAGAGAACCTTATGCGGTAAACTTGACATAAATTTTCAATCTAGTTCAGCAATCCACCCACAGGCATTAGCATATAAAGGCTACATATCACATTTTGTGAAATCTTCTCAGGTGTTTTGTGAGAAAAAAAAAAATTAAATGGTAGGATTGATTCTTTTGTAGGTTAAGTTTGCCTACAATCGGTCTACAATTCGCAGTCCATTTGAGATTATATACTGGTGAAATCCTCTCACTCCATTAAAATTAGTGCTAATACTTCTAGTTGCTGAGTTTAGCATGGATACAAATGTTAGAGTCTGAGAGATTCAGATCACATATGAGTAGTTGAGGATATAAATTACTAAGTAAAATGCTAAATATCATAACAGACAAATAATTCTAGAAAAGCTCAGGTTTATAAAATGTAATATGATATGGATTATACTAAAGAATGACTAATTTCCTGAATATCCAGGAGTTTCTAGACAACAAGTCGAACCCTCTCTAACCCAGAGTGAACAACTTGAACAATACTTTGCTACTGCACATAATTATCACCTTACTATGAAGATCCAGAAGTTTATAGATAGCAAGGCGAAGCCTCTCTTACCCAGAGTGAATAATTAGAACAACATTTTGCTACTACAAGGAATGTTTCGTCCGCATGACAATAACAAATGAACACAAAACGAATCCAATTCCGCTTACGAAGAGTTCCAAAATTATCCAGCTTCCAATGACTGGACCACACCTCTTGGGCCCCAATTACTTTACTTAGCACTAACATCAGGGTTATTTGGAAATTTATAAATTTGTTAGCTTGGACTAATTTGTGGATTTATTTTGGTTTAGATTTATGTTGGACTAAAGGAATCTTCTCATGTTTCTTAAATTATGAGTGCTATAATATTTTTTCTTCTCAAGTTATGTGTTTGTAGCTTGATTGGGGAATAGATGGTTGATCCTCCTTAGATTTCATGTCGCGCCAAGCAGCCATTAAATGACGCTCTTGTTGTTCTCACCCAAGTAGCACTCGTTGACTTTGTAGCTTGATTGGGGAATAGATGGTTGATCCGCCTTAGAGTTCATGTCGCGCCAAGCAGCCATTAAATGACACTCTTGTTGTTCTCACCCAAGTAGCACTCGTTGACTTTCTTGCTGTCATATCCCACAAAACGGCAATCACCCCTAAGTTTCTTTCCAAACCACATTCTATCTCAGACTTTTAATACCTTAAACTCTTCTAGGAAACCAAAAATAGTGCCACCAACTAAAATTTATTCTCCAAAAATGATTTTTAAACAAACTCAAATTAGCCCAATCTAAATTAATTTTGAAATTTCAGCCAGGATACCATATTAAACACTCATCATTCTACAAAAAACTCTAGCACACACCCCTAGATATTAAATAAAAATCAATAACAATTTCTAGCCCTTAAACTCAACAAAAGCCCACCATCCCCATTAACTAATGAATATGGTACTATTCTAGGGCAGTAAGGTCCATATAACATACCGTTCAAAGTTGAAGCATGGAGAGCAAACTAAAATTAGAGTTTCAATGGCCAACACAAAGGGATGAGTACGTACCATCCATTAGGTAACCACAATTACAAGCTGGTTCTTAAAATAGGCAATCATAGTGCAATTTCTATTCATATACTCAAACTAAAAAAAAAAATAAATCAATTGGATTTCAGGACAATCACTAGAATGAATAGTTATAGAAAGTAAACCTTTTGGTCCTTCTTTATCTTTCTTTCTGCATCATCATCCCCAACCTATATATAGCCAAATAGAACATAAAGTAAGCTCCATATCACATTTCCCATCATTCAAGGCAGAATAAAAGTAAGCTTGGTAAAACAAAGAATAATTAGTAAGAAACTATGCAAATGAATTAGCTAAAAATAAAGACAATTCAGAGCCACACCACACAATTATCATGTATTTACATATCTATCACCTAATTTAACACCCAAATCTTTAACATCACATAAAAATACCGCTAATATTTTTTAAATGCCAGTGATATTAACTCTTCTAAGCTAAGAACACCTCTTCGTACATATGATTTGACATGATTACAACATTAAAGTGATATATATGTAAATGTTGTTTGGTTGCGAATTTGAGCAACATTTGGGCAAGATTTAACCTAAATCCCATGTCTCCTCCGCTTTGCTTTCTATCCCAGATTGAGTAAATCCCGTTGGAAGGTCTGTTTACGGGATTTAGAGAAGCTGAAGCACGCGAAGGGGGGGTGTGGGAGGAAGAAAGAGAAAGACAAGGGTTGGTCGGGTAGGAACGAGGTGGGAAGGGGACATATACCGGGCTTTCGGAGAGCTTTGTACGCTGCGATCCCGCCATTGACTTCCCAGTTAGCTCCAGAAGCGAGTGTGCCGCGAGGTTTACAGGCACGAGAGAGGAAGAAAGTCGGCACTGGCTTCGGGTGAAACCGGCAGAGAGGAGGCGAGGTAGGAGGTTTACGGCCATAAGAGAATAGTTTGCGCGAATTAATAGAGAAATATTTGCATAAATACCACCCATTTCTTATGTATTTGCATTCTTTTCACCCAATTTTTAATTTATATATTTTTAATGTGATGTAATGGGTTTAGGTGGTATAAATATAAAAATTAAAATTAAGGTGCTAAATATTATATTCATAAAAATTGAGTTTTATGTATGTGAATGCCCCCTTAATATGTTTTTATTCAAGTTAATTTTAATAAATTATATTAATTAATAATTAATAAATATATCATCAAACTATTTATAATTATATAAATTTATATGTAATTATTTTTAAATCCATTAAAATAAATTAACTAACACATGAAAAGTCAACTAGTTTAATAATATTGTAATTAAGTATTAACTAGTATAATAAATAATCAATCAATATTAATTAATGTATAAGATTATTATTTGATAAATATTTAATTCTATAAACTTTTATTATTGATTAGTTAGTTTAATTTATTTTTAACTATTTATTAACATAATTATAATTTTTTTACTTTGCTCTAAGTATCAAAATTTGAATTTGGGGAATTTTCCACTAATGAGAAGTGTAATTAATGAATTGTTTTTATTTTTTAAAATGCAAGTAATTTTGATATTATAGTATTTTAATTAATAACTTTGATTAATTAGTACAAATAATTTGATTAATTAGAAAAAAAATAGGAATAATATGTTTTTACGTGAATATGATTATATGTTAAATTATTTTTTTTCTTAAAATATTTATAGATTATTATTAAGTGAGGGTCATTGAATAGAGAAAAAAAAATAGGAATAATATGTTTTTACGTGAATATTCTATATATTCATATGGCAAGGGGCATAACCAAACAAATCAATGTGCTATTACTCTAAAGCTTTGATGACTTTCTTATAAAATACAACTCTAATAAGTAAAGAACGGAGTAGGAAGCAAAATCACGACATGATTCAAATAGTTAAATACTGCAAATACAAGAGGATATTTAAGATCTTAATTGTGGTTATTTTGGTCCACCAAAGAGCAGATACATAGAGGTATAGACGAGCCTAACATGAGCGGGCTCTAGCTTTACTAGTGTTTGGCTCTTTAAAAAATACTACTCTTTCGACTCATTTATATTCCAAACACAAATAAAATGTTTGTGTTCGACTAGTTTGCTTGGTGAGCCGAACACGAGATGTTTGATAACAAAGAGTATTTTTGACAAACAAACTCACACAGTCATAGGATGTTAAGGATTGGGACGAAATTTAAAACTTATTATATCCATTAAAAATCATTTAAGTACAATTTAATATATTTTTATTCTATTTTTTAATTAATAACTTTAATTGATTATAAATCTTTGCAGCATTGTAGTCAAGTAAAGTATTTTAAAAAAAAAATAAAATTATTCGCATTCGGCTCGTTTGCTTAGCGACTGAACGCGAATTGTTTGCGAACAACAAGTAGTTTTGACAGTCATAATCAAAATACTTGTCCAAATACACATATATGAATGAAATAAAACAAATATTAACATTAGCCAAATATAATAACAAAGCATCAATTTATCATGATGCCCGCCTCAAAGTAAAGTAGAGATTGATCTTAATTTTCAAGTTATTCAATAATTTTAATGTCATATGAATGTTCTCATTTATTTTTAGTTAATCTTATTGATATGTTAAATTGTCCTTCTATTAGAAAGTTGCGATTAAATCATTATCATTGTACACCCAATCATGCATTCAAGCGTGTAAAAGAGCGGAACTACAAAAACTTCGAGCCTCATTCATGGTTGGCTCGCTCTTCAGCTCGTGCTTGAATTGACTGATTAATAGCATGTTTGTATTCAACTCGATTCAAACTCATCGGTTCGAATTAAACTCATGTTTTAGCTCGAATTTCTTACTTGCCTTGTACGATTTAAAAAAAAATTAATCTTAAATTTGAGCTATTAAATTTTAAAAAATATTTATTTTAATTGAACGAGATTTCCAAATGCTTTTGTTTTTTTTTACATGAGATTAATGTTTACAGAATGGGAGGCCAAAAAAGAGGGGAATTTATATGCATGCCATCAGATTCTATATATTCACATATCTAACAGCCTTTTCAATTTATGTTACTCTAATTTTAAATGTCATATTACAAAGCCTATGAGCCGAAGTCGCTTAGTTTATCCCACCAGTATAAGTGGCCAAACTAGACCGACCAGCCGAAGTAGTTGAATCAAGTCCGCTAGCCGAAGTGGATATAAGATACTTGAATCTAGTAAACAATATCAACCCTTTCAATATTTAATGTGTCGTCAGATTTTCGAGACCATGTTTCTTGCTCAAGACTAAAGGACGACCATCAAGACGCCGTCATTGGATTACGCATTAGGTGTACATGTTGTCTACATTATACTCTTACCATCAAGGATGTCACGATGAGATTACTAGCTAAGCTAGAAACGTTGTATTCATTATTGTATGATTACAATTATATACGCTTTTCCAAATGTCTCCACCTTACCTTTCTTATCCATTAATTTTATAGTCATAGAGAGTGTTCTACCAAATTGTATGTATTGACGGACTATACCGGATCCTAAGTCCCATATTGATTCAACATTTTTATAATTATACTATCAAAATAGTTTTAAAAAAATAATTTAATATAACAATTTTTAAAAATATATTAAAAATTAATATAAAAAATATAAATAAATATTATGATTGAATTATTTAATTATTTCGAATTTAAACAAGCCAAACACAAGGGAATAAATTTATGTTCATGTTCACTCATTTATCAAACAAGCTAAAAACATTGTTAGCATTCAACTCACGTGCTTAACGAATGAATCATACACGAGTTATTTTAAAAAAAAATTGTGCAAGATTCATTTGGTGGAGCATCGTCTTTCGAACGTTTCCCAACATTGTTTCACAAGAATGACAATTTTTCGTTGTTTTAGTTAAGTGAAGCTTCTTCAAACGAAGCCTAAGTGTCCAGAATGCCATAACGAGCATATTTGAACATTAAATTAGTAAGAATGAATTAAAATGAACTCCAATTTATTTTTCACATTTTTTGAAATACATATATATTACCAAAAGTTGTGTTTTATCACCTAAAAACTTATTAATTGTGAAGAATATAATACTTTTCTCATAATATGTGTCGCATACATCGGCTTGTTGGTTGACATCCACTGTATAAAAACCCTCAGGTCGGGAGTTTGAATTTCCTCTGACACAGTTGGCCTTAAGGAGATGATAGTTGTATTGTTAGACACGTTAGGAATATACTAACCTCTGATCATTTCTTTTAAAATAATAATAATAATAATAATACTTATATCATAATATATGACAAAAATGAATAAAAAGGAACATAGTGCAAGTACTTAGTCTTTGACAATCATAGTTAGTTTTAATTAAAACCCTTACAAATCATTATTAAGGTCTTATAATGGAATATGATCTCATACATTAAAATTGTGATGGATACTCGATCAATGGTGTTGAAGCAATTCAAAATCGTTACACAACTCGCTCATTCACACCCACTTCCACATGGCACTTCTTCGCTTTTTTATTGGGCCACGTCCATTGCGCCAAGTTGTAGACATAACGAATCCGCTTTCGCCACCTCAGCATGCTTATCTGGCTTCCATCATCCACATCGCTCCTGTCTTCCTTCCTCGTGAGCTCACCACCATTGAACTTTATAGAGATAAATGAATCTAAAAAAAGTCATACATATAATCAATAATAATTTTGTAAATAAATTATATGGAGATGAATTTAAAAATTATTAAAATAAACTAATTATTTATGTAGCACTAATCCAATAAAAAATTCATCCTCATATTTCTTCATATCCATAAACTAAAATTCAATATTATAAAATTTCATTCCATGCATAGGAGGGTTTGCACCCGTGACTCCAGTGTCTTATAAACTCTGTCAATCAAAGTACCACGGTAGACATCATATATATGATGCTTACCGTGGTTCTTTGGTTGACAGAGTTTGTTAGACTCTGGAGTCACGGATTCAAACCCACCTATCTAAGGAATGAAATTCTTAGACACACGAGATTGGTCGCGAGGCTCGTCTAATAGACTCTGGTCAATCTTTAAATATATATATTAAAAAATCATATGTATATATATATATATATATGTTACTTTGTAAATGATCTGCCATAAATAGGTTCAATACCTTCAAGGCTAAGAATGGAGGAGCTCTGATCAGATGAAGGAGAAATAGGATCTAGTTTTGGACGGTGGTGATCGAAGAGGGTGGCCGGAAATGGGCTCAGTTTAAAGAGGTTTGGAAACTTTCCGGCGACGGTGGCGATCTTCTTCTTCTGACTTCTGAAAGGGCTGCTCTGATACTCCTGTTTTGAAGCTAAGATGAGGAGCTTCTCTTTCAGACAAAGAGAACAGATTCCAACTATCAGTTTGTTTGGGTGAGAGTGGCAGGAGAGGTTATAGGCTCCTCTGTTATAGTTCATTTTTGCAGAAATGGAGAAGAAGAGAGGAGGAAGAAGTCAAGGTTAAAATGGTGGGAGAGAGAGATAGAGAAGGGGGGGACGAAGTGGGAAGATAAGGGAGAAGATAAGAGGATGAAGAGAAGGCTAAAATGGTGAAGGGAGATAAGGAGGTGGGAGGAGGAAGTGGGCGCATGTTGAATATATTTTATTCATGCAAACAAAACTTTATAGGAATTTATTGGGGAATGATATTGTTTTTTATTTGTTTAATTATAATAGATTATGATTAAAATAAAAGTGTTTAAAACAATATGTGATAAGCAATTCTTATATTGTTGAACTCATATTTGTTTGTGAATTCTCTCTCTCTCTCTCATTCTTATCTAAGTAAGGCCTACCAAATTACGTGTACAATCAAAATGCTCTCGATCGAATCCTTTAGAGTTCTAACGAACCCGAACAATACACGTGATAGACGATGAATTTTGTGAAAGAATGTAGGGGTGCCCCAAGCATGAGCAAAAACAATAGAGGTCGATTAGACAAAGGCAGATCAAGTGGACGGTCAGCTAGATGCAAACCAACTTGGATGTCGAGCGACCGGAGGCCGAATAACAAGAAGCAGACATCAAAAGACAACAATTTCAAAAAATCAGAGATAAAAACGTCATTTCACAATAATTTCTCCCATAAATAAATAAAATATTAAATGTAATAAGGCAATTAAAACCAGCGAAGCACATGATATATCATCTCACAATCTCTTATATATATATATATATATATATATATATATATATAGGAAATATAATATAATCTAATATATATAGGTAATATAATATAATCTAATATAATATTTTTTTTCTTAAAATGATATTAAAAATTATTAAATAGTAAGACTTTTGTGCTGCTAAGATGTTAATATTATTGAACTTAGTGCCATTTTTAAAATATTTTTATAGCAATATTGCTAGAAATATCAAAGACATCGTGACATGTTAGAATTTCTTAAAGATTGGCCAGCTTTAATTAGCATAATAATTACATGTAAATTTATAATTTAAAATTATAAATTGAAAATCAGATTTGAGCATTTATTTATTTCCATTTTTTTAATTATTATATTAAAATAATATGAAATCTTTTGGGATGATTTAAGGGAAGGGCAGTAGTGGGGCCATCCATGCACCTGTGCATAACAATAGAGGACAGGAACATGCACGTGCCCCCAGTTCATAATGCGCTAGTGGGCCTGCGACCACATAATGTTAACATGTTGGGAGGATAGTTTTTAATAATTTGTATAAACTACTAATATTAAAGATTTGCATAAGTACAACATAAATATTTATTTGCAAATCATTAATAACTCAGATTCAAGGAAAGAAAAGCAAATCTAATAATTTCATATCTATCCTGATATAATTTATATTAGAAGCAATAAAAACAGAAGACACAGGATTTGTTTTATATATATATATAGAAAAAAAAGGTTAAAATAAATTCGACTATTTGCATGAGGTTGCTTTAGTCCAGAAATTTATAGAAATGCCAAAATAAACTCATTATTTAAAAATTGAGGTCTAATAGTCTTCAATTGAACTATTTTAGCTCCAATTTAAATAATCTAAGGACTATCTTAACACTTCTATAAACTCTAAGACTAAAACAGCTTCATATATATAATAATCATGAATGATATTGACGATTTAGTCATCTAAGTTACAAAAAAATTTTAAAACAAAATGATAAAAATTGTTGTTGATATCATAATTAAAAAAAAAGCAAAGATTTCTGTATATTATGTCTGGAAAATAGAGTGGTTAGTCGACAGTGTGGATGACATCACATCGTGCAATCCACGCAACCATCTGCACGTACGTCGTTCAGAAGCAATATTTTCCGCACATAAACAAAATTGATAATTAAAAACTTCTCATCACAAACATTTTAGAGACTAACAAAGAAGCCAATAAAAAATATATATTTGGCCTTAACAATTAGGAAAATCATCACATCTGCTCACAAACTGCACCCCCTAAAACAAAATAAATTATTTGGCGTATGCAATGATTTATGAAATCTGAAAAACCTAAACTCTATGAGCAGGAGGAATGAACTAAGAACCCAATCATTGCTCTTCTCAGAACTTATGTTTTGGCCTTTTCTATGCATATAATTTAGAGAGTTCTTCTGTAAAAGCCTTTCTGAGGGCTTCTCTCTTGAGTTTTAGAGCAGCGGTTACCAGACCTGACTCAGGAGTCCATGGCTCCGGTAGCAACTTGATCTTGGCGGGTATCTCTGATTTCTCCAGACGTGATTCTTTTGCTGCCTGCAATAGTTTTGATTCGCACATGGAAGGGAATTAGAAGTGAGTTTTCCTCTTTTTCTTTCTTTTTTTTTTTGGGAAGATTTACATGCATACCACCCAATTCTTTTTATGTATTTACATATTGAACGCCTAAACTTCAATTTTTACGTGCATGCCTCACCTTATATATGAAAAGATGTATTTCACTTTTTAAATGTTAAAATGGTGGTGTTTTTGATATGATATGAGATATTTTGGTGGTATGAATGTTGAAAAGCAAAGTTTAGGGGTTAGATATGTAAATATATAAGAAGATGGTGGTATGTATGTAAATTCCCCCTTTCATTGGTGTTGGGGGGAAGGGGGCATTTACATACATGCCACACGATTCATATGAATTTATATATCTAATATCTAATTTATAATTTTTATATTCATAACATTAAAAAATATTTAATAAGAAAAAGGGCTGTTCACATACATAGAACAGAAAAAATTGCTATTTACAAATCTAGCATCCTCTTTCATCCATTTTTCAAATTCTCACTTGAATATTAAAATGCAAGACAAAACCCCAACCCATATTTTTCATTTTTATCAAATTCTCCATGATTTGATTGTGGCACGCATAAATACTTTGGTTCGGTAGTTTAAAAATATAGACTGGGTGCTAGACTTTATAAATAGTAATTTTTGGGGTGCCATGCATGTAATTATCCCTTTGCTAGGGCTGTTTACATACATAGAACCCGAACATTGCTATTTACAAAATCTAGCACCGACAAAGATCAGAATGCTTGTTTCACTTACCTAAAGACTTTGCTGATGCAGCTAAACTAGTGTAAAATTAGAAGAATAAAAATTTGCATTGCTAACCTTTGCTAGTGATGCATGCACTTCTTTCACAGTCTCCTCCTTTAGGCATAGATCAGTTATATCCCTGAAAGCAATCCTGTGCCTCTGAGCCCAACTTTCCAGAGCCTGTGGTGCAACCGTGACGAGGGCCACACAATAGCTGTGAAAAGGATCAGCATGCAGCATGATATTTTCTACATATGGGCTCACAATAAGGGCGGCCTCTACCTGCAAACAAGGTTAGATCACTTGACATAAAGGCGAATATTAATTCATAAGAGCACATGGGATGAAAATTCGATACCTTTCCAAGCGATACATATTCGCCATGTTGAAGTTTCACGATATCCTTTTTCCGATCTATGATTTCAAGGCAACCATCAGGATGAAAGCGCCCGATGTCTCCGGTGTAAAACCATCTCATGCCCCTTTCATCGACCTTTTATGTTAAGATTCAATGCACAGTGCAGTTAGTCTAATGATGTTTGTGTGTGAAGGATAGAATGAGAAATATATTATTCTAAAAAGTGAAGATTATTCTAGGATGTGAAAACAAAAGCTTTTCTAGCTACTTTGGTTGTATGCAGGGGCGGAGCTACAGTAATGGAATTAAAACACATATACACACACACAATTGCTGTGTGTGCATGTAACATATGCATTTAAGTAAATCATACCTTATTTCAAATAATTTTCATATTATAATATTTTATGAAATGATTATACAACTATTTCGAATATTTTTTTAATGTTTTATAATGTGAGGGGTCATTGATGTTGGCAAGAGAACTTCCTCTTGGGCATCAAGTGAGGAAAGTCGAGCTTTCAATCTCTAAATTTCCAAAAAAGAACAAAATATGCTGAAAAAGAATCAACATGATGACATCCAATGTTTTCAGAAAGTACAGACCTTGTATACTTCCTTAGTTTTCTCTTCATTCTTGAAATATCCGGCAGTCACATTTGGTCCACCAATGACTATTTCACCTCGTGGCATTGGTGAATCTGTTGTTAAATATCCACCTTCAGGCCAGTCAATTAGCTGATACAACAATGAAAGTCCCAACATAAGTTCATAAATTAACATTAAAAAATGAACAGAGACAACAAAATAATAATAATAAACTAATTGAGTTCTGCTGCAAAGTGCAGCTCATTATAGATTTAATTAGAGGAAACAAGAAGTTACTCAAATAAACTCGGCCGTAAGTTTGGCACAATTTTAAAAAATCGATTCAGCTTTTGGCTTCAAATTGAGCATAGATCGAAGTCAACCAGCCGACAAAAGAGTCGAGCCCAATTTGAACAGAATCTGAATTGAGGGGAACCCTGAATAAACTAGAATAGCTCAAGCTCAAATGAAAACGCACGCATATGTATTGGATGCCATACACATAAATTTATTCATCACAACTAAAATAGAAAACTATAGACTTTTCGCTTGATTTTTAATGTCTATTATATGAATGATAGATATGGACTTCATTTAAACCATCACATTTTCTTGTTTGAGTTTATAAGATCCTAAACATTAACCGGTGAATTTTAAATCAATTGCTGAGTTTATACAATCAATTTAACTTATTAATGAAGTTAAATAATTTCTAATTTAAAGGTTTAAATCCTAGTTAGGTCGGTTGAACCTTAACTGGGCTAATTGAACTTTTACAACGTTTATTTAAGCCCTGATCCCATTATTACAAGACCTAAATATGTCGATTGAGCACTTGCTCAACTAGGCAAAATTGATTGAATCTAATTTATAGAATTAGGGTGGGTTATGACTTAATAATATATATGATCAATCAAGTCAAGATGACCTCAATTTTTATATATATCTAGAGTGGGATCTAAGGGTGGTGGTGGTGATCAGCGAGGGTTGGAAGGTGGTTGAGAGGGGAAGCATGGAGCAAGTGGGCAGATATGACGACGGAACATCAGGTCCTTGCTATCCTGAGCGGTAACAAGATGAAATTTGGGTTCGGGAGGTTGGAACAATGGATATGCGGCAGGGAGGCCGTGTTGGAGGACTGGGACAACGGATAGCTAGCGGTTAGGAGGCAGAGATGTGGTCCAAAATGGCCGGAACAACAACTGGTGGGAATGGGAGAGGATTTCTGGTGGCTTGAAGAACGACAGCACCAAGCGGGACCAATGGAATGGCAGAGAACTTGGGTTGGAATGCAGAAACTGCAGGAAGAATAACAGCAGCAGCTGTTCCGGGGAGCTGCAGCAGGGAACAGTGGCAGGGAACAGTGGCGGGGCTCAGTGTGAGGAGGATGCAGAAAAAGAATGGGGAAGATAAACAACACCTAAAGGCCTATACGGCCGAAGCACCACCTTGAACCCAAGGATGCAACTCTCAAAGGAAAGAAGAAGTCAGCAGTTGTCTCGACACAAAACTCATGAAAAAACTAACTTTAAACTCTCACCAAAATAGACATATAATAAGAAGAAAACTAAGATGGCCCAAGAGAACCAGACAACTCTACGGAAAGAAAGAAAACGGGACTGGTTCGGCCTAGGCAAACAGGCGGGTTGCCAGCTTCCCTAAGGAAAGACCCACACGTACGCCCCTGCGTCATGACTACATTTTCTTGAGAAAATAATGTGCACCCATTATCATAATACAAGTAGAAAAATTTAAGCATTGTCGTGTAGTTTCCTTAAACTACTACAGCATTAAATATGACCAAATATCAGAATAATAGAAAAGGGCAGAGGTTCCTCTATTCAATATGTCTATATATAAGCATTGACTTATTCGAAATTAACATCATCATTTGGCCAGCATAAGACTATCAATTATACATACAACAGCAGTTTTAATGTAAATTTAAGTTTTTCAAGAATCAGAAGTGTAACTGAGATTAGTCAATCTAACCAAACCATACACTTTTCTCAAGAAATTACATTGCCGAGTGTGCTTATTATCACTGACCTTAACAAATGAGCAAGGAAGTGGAGGGCCAACACGACCAACTGACGGGTCATCATATTCTGAAAATGTTCCCCCAGCACAAGTTTCAGTCAGTCCATATCCTTGCCCTATTGGAGCCCTAGAAATGGAATAAGATTTAGTTGACTACTATGAAAAAATTCACCCATAAGGAATATAAATTCAAAGTTAATAGGTAAATGCTAACATAGTAAAACAAATAGACAGAAAAAAAAACTTTTATTTTCCAGTGATTGTATTCTATACTGACCAATCAGCCATCCTAAGAATCCCACCTGTAGAGGAACTATTAAAAATTGAACTTGAATTGCCAACTAAAATAATTAATGACATGATGTTCCCTGCTGATAACAAACAATTCTAGGACCCGATGGATCGCTAATAAAGCATGCATTAAGGAAAAAATTGGTTTTATAAGTATTGATAGTTTATTATCAAAAAAAGAGTTTAAATGACCACATTATGAAATGTAAAATATCCAGAAAGAAAAAGCAATTAAATAAACAGTTTACATGTTGCTCTTAAATTATCTCAGTTGAAATCAGTTTAAGCAAATAATTATACAATGAACTTCAATACAAAAACCAAAATCATCCTAAAAGTAATGCATTTATTTTAATATTATTTCCAAAGCATAAAAGAAAAATTATATATTTTTTTCAATGACAAAAAAATTCAAGAGTAATTACTTTTGCATTTAAAATTATAAGTTACACGAAAATTTCAGAAGAATCAAATCCAGAATGACTTTCAGAAGTTATGGATTGAATTCAACTGTTTTACCTGCAACTATATACGCATTTTTTCCTTCTCCATTCCCTCCTCTACTCCCTCTTCCAATTTTTTACCATAGTTTAGCATAACCACTGAAGAACCATGTTTTGTCTTGACATGTATTAGAAGAGTGTTAGGGATTCTTTGGTTATTAGTAGTTAAGATCTATGTATTTTGAAAATGCAAGGTAAATGTTGGCATCAATTTTTGAATATCATAGGTGTAGGGTGTCCACCTGTGATTGACGAAAATTAGTTATCGCGTCATGCACGAATTTGACTCAAATTGACCTGAGCACCAGCGAGCTTGTTCAGATGACCCCGAACGACGAAACGGACTATGCGGTCGCGTCCGGAATGTCGATTTCACTTATGTACTAGCGAAAAATGCGCGGAGGATAATAATATTAATATAAAATATTATTATAAAAGGTAGAGGTAGAGTGATTATTATATCAACGAGGTTAAAGAGCAACAGGGCTCAAAGGGGCTCAACAAAAAAGGAAGGTAGAAGTAACTGGGTCGGGGTACCACAGACCCGTCATACACAACTACTAGGACCCTAAGTCTACCTAGTCGTGAAGGTAGTCGACCCAACACAACCTGAGATCCCCGGTCAACAATCCGTGAATTGCATCATCCACGGGAACCTCGGTAGCTCTAAAGTCTAAGGAAATAAACTATATCATATGTCTACCAAGTGGAGCTCCAAGAGGTGGTATGAAATAACAAGGATGTCTCAATAAAGAAAGAGAAATGGAGGCTCAGTCACAAAGTTAGAAACGCTCCAAACAAAAGAACTTATACCTCATCTGTGTCGGGGAGCCTTCTACGCTAGGCGCACTAGATAACCACCTATATGAAGATATGTTGGGCCAGTCAAGTTCGAAAAGTACAGGGACTCCTCCTCGGGACATGCCAAGATGAATGCAGTTATCTAGAGTTATCCTAAGTATTGTGAAGACCCTATTAATATATGCAGAAAAGTAAAAGTTGCAATTTTTAGATCCTGAATATTTTAATCCTAAATTTTAATCATCTTGAATATTTTATTTAGGATTTTATAGAAAGTTAGGAATTTAAATCCTAAAGAGTCTATGTTATATCGTGAAATCCCAGATAAATCACAAAAAGAAACAAAAAAAACACATGCAAATGCAGACATTCAACATGATGCAAAAGATAAAACAAGCCAAATCAAAAATAATAAACAGGTCAGTGCCGCTGGGTCGGCAACATATCCCAGAAAAGAAAAAAAAATGCAGACGGACTCCGTATATACATGTCCGGTCCTAATTCTATACATCAATATAAAATACATAATTAAGATACAGGGCAAGAGCATCTGCTCCTGGTCTCCTTCCACGTGGTTCCCGAGCTAATGTCTCGAAACCCGTGCCCGTATCTTATTTCTGCTACAGAACTCTCCTAGACTCTAAAAATACATAGAGAAAAGTAAAAGACACAATCCTGCATTGAAACAAATGTCAACATGAAAACTCACATGCACATAGTGTATCATGAGACATGTCTTAAAAGTGGGGGGGAGCTAATAACACCTACAAGCAAAATGGTAAGAAATCATTACTTGCTCCCCCCCATAACGATACCTGTGTGTGTATAAAAATAAGCATGGCTCCCTGCACTAAAACCCATTAACACACTACCATATATATGCAACATGCAGTCACATCATAAGCACAATGCAAAAGAAAGATATTTGGCTAGGGCAACCAATCCAACAGAGAGAAATAGTCAGACATCAAAAAGACTACCTCTAACACACCATCTAACGAAAAGTGCATCAACCTAGTATCTAAGTGCGGGGTAAGTCTGGGTATGGTATGACTTTGACGGGGTTTGACGGATGACTTTGACGGAGTCACTTTACTGGCCCCATCCTAAGGATCCAAAGAATCTAAAGAGTGTCATGAAAGGGGATCACACCAGTTAGATGCATTGGATTCTTAGCAGTCATACTCATGTCGGTCCTGATGACTTAACTCGCATTGCTCATCGGGATTGACCCAGCAAGCAATGCTCGTTAAGGCTTCACGACCAACACGTGAGTCACTCTCTTAACGGGTTTGTCTCGCTATCCATGCAAACATGCAAATGCAAATGCTAATGCAAGTAAATCAAAACATATAAGTAGTGACAAAGAGTATGTCATGAAGGCAGCGACTCGTAGAAATGGACATGCCGTAATGACAGAGGCATGAAAAGAGGGTATGTCGGTAAGGCAGTGACCCGAAGGAATAGGCATGCCAAGGCGGCAGCGACCCGAAAAAGGAGTATACCGGTAAGGCAGTGACCCAAAGATGGAACACGTCGTGACGGCAGCGGCCCGAAAAATGAGTATGTCGGTAAGGCAGTGATTCAAAGATGGGCATGCCGTGATGGCAGCGGCCAGAAAAAAGTGTATGCCGGTAAGGCAGTTACCCGAAGGAATCCAACTAAAGTAGATGATATCAATCATGCAGACAAACATATACATGTACATACACATGTAAATGAGCAAGTGGTCGGTCGATCAAAATGAAAAATCTGATCAAACTAAAGTGTTGTACCAACCGGGCCCAAGTAGTCGGCTGAAACACAAGTGATGTGACCGGTTCGGGATAACCGGCTGAGCCACAAGTAATGTC